CCCGAAAATTATGCTGCGGATTGTCCAAATGACCTCAGGCGAGGTCCGGCCTGGTCACATTTCCCGGGTTACAATATGATGCTAATACTAAGCACAAATCGCCAAATGTAGAAAAAAAAAGATAAAGATAGAAATAGAGATGTTCCGTCAGAAAATGTCAAAGACAGTAGTAGCAAAGGCAAATTTAGATACTGATGAAGGTTTGACTAAATTAGTCGATGACAAATTGAAGAGAATTTTCAGTAAAAAATTAATTGAATTTGTTAATCAGAAGAATTTACCTAAATATAAGTCCTTTATTGCATATATATTATTGGTTTATTATTTATACATGGAAGTATTGTAATAAGAAGTTAAATTTACATAAATAATATTCTTGTCTTATGATTAAAAACAGACGGAAAATGCCCAGAAAATTCAGAATGGACAAGCTACTTAGTGATCTGAATTGGATTTTTAATCGTGAAACCTTGCTTTATTATTTGAAAATAAAATTCATATTTTACTCGAAAAATTCGAGTATACAATCTCTAATTTAATGACTATGTATCTCAGATGCTGATTATCAGATGACGTGAGTAGCGGTAAACTTGAAATTTCAATTTGATTAAACTAATCACGAACAAACCAAAATGAGATAAAGTAGTGCAAAGGTAATATATTTTTTTTAAAGAAAAAAAAAGAAGAATTAGGCCAAGTCGAATGCAAAGACAAGCATAAAGAGATACAAAGCCAACGAGATTAAGTGACATCATAAGGGAATTTTTAAAAAGAATTATTAGATCAATGTCGAATGTATAGATAAGCTTAAAAGAGAAAATCAGCGTCGAAGATAAAGCAAAGCCAAGCTTAAAGAAATGCACGTTAAGGTTAAAAGCCATAAGGTTTTTTTATGTTGTTGTTTCGACCTAAAGTTCTCACATTTCCCGTTGAAACTTGCGTCAGATTATAACTTACGTACCTCAAATAAGCGATTAACGAATTACACATCACCCGAAAATCAGCATCTAAGTACAGTACAAAGAATAACAGAAATCAAAGAATTGAAACTTTAATCCTTCAGGATAAAATCCTTGATTCTTTAAACCATTTCTTTAATTCTGAGACAGGACCGGACTTTTAACACCTTATATATGTGTGTCAGTATATACTAATACTATGCATAATAATAGCAAAAGAATTTACAGTATCGATTATGTTACAGTATTACGTATAACAACAAATAATGAGTGAATTTTTAAATTCATAATGAAATGATATTATACATAGTGAAATAGAAATATTTATAAAAAAATATATAAATTTATTAGAATGCTAAATGTAATATATGAAAATTGGTTATCAAAAAAGTCTGTACAAATATATCTGTAATATTAATAGCATCTTTAAAGCTTTTAAGCAACTAAATTATCATTAAAGCATGAAATTAATTAATTATTAATAATAAAGAAATAGTTATTGCCATGAAAAATTAATAATGTTCGTTAATATGATAGTTAACAAGCACCAAATGATTAATTTCGACTCTGAGATAATTGTAGAAATTGTAGTATGGGCTCCTGAAGTACCACCAATAACTGTATACCTATAAAATTATCAATTCAATTAGAAAAAAGTTAAAGAAAAAAAACCCCCCATTACATTTTAAATGAGAAAAAAAAAATACCCTATATTCTGAAGAAGTGATCTTAATTTTGGACCTATTGGACCATTTTTATAATTCCCACCCATTTGTACATATTGTTGAAGTGTTATTCCACGTTCCATCATATATCTCATTAAAAAATCACTAGTATTACTATAAGTTTCATAACTAAAGTGACTAACACTTGATTTAGAATTATAAGGAGTTAACGATGTTTCAAGAACAATTTTGTTGGATCCAGATAAAAGTGCAAAAGAATTTGGTTTGGTAGCTTCTGAATACAAATTTTTTGCTAGATTATATTGAGATGATGATTCGAATGCTGATACAAAACTATCTGGAGTCGGATACGTTGTATTACCAAAAACGTCCATTTGTTTGGTAATACTCGTTATTGTTTGACCTGAAGATTGCACGGACATGTACTTATCAAATATATCTTCATAAAAATGATAATTATTTCCAGATGGAATGATATAAGGTGTTAATCCTGTTGGTGTGTTATTAATATAATCATCGAGACTAGACATAAACCCTAATCCATGTATAAGTTCATGTAATATGACCATTTCTAAGTCTGTCTGATCTGGCCTTATATTACCATCTCCTTGAAACCAATAAGAAATATTTTCACTATTGAACATAGCGGTAATATCAAAATCACTATATTCTGGTCGATTTGTATTTCCTCGTTGTTTTACAAGAGCTTGAGGATAAAATCGGTAAATACCGTCGTTATCCTGGATTAACATGCTTCTCGACGGTGCTGCACCACCTAAGTATGCATCAATTTTAATATATACATTTCAATGGACTGAGTTATTACTAAGAGATGTATATCGTAACTAGTTACTATATAAGCATTAACTAGTTACGGCATAGGCCTAAGCTGTAATAGTTTTACTTGCATCTCTAGTTATTATTAAATAATCACTTACCAACTACTTTAGCCTCTACTCCAGAACTTTCAACTATACAACCGCCCATTATCGCACAAAGATTAGTGAATGTGGCATTAACATTTACCATTTGATTAAATGCGATTGTATCAGAAATATATTGCCCAGCAGTTTTAAATGCTTGTTGCGCCTTTGAACAAAGTGTTTTATCCGAACTGCCACATGAAAATGTAATATTGAACATATTTGTACCACGTTTTGAATTCTGATATGGTTCTTTTTCTATTACCATGGGACATGATACCATTGCTAAATTATGTGGATTTAATGGATCTGGTCGATCAAAACACATTGATTTGTCCTTTGTAAGAACGAATGTAATATTGAATATAAAAAATATTAATAGTAATATTGATCGCATCATTATTTATTTTGAATCTTTTTCAGAGTTTTTTCCAAGATAAAAATATATGCTATTATCTGTGTGTTTCTTGACGTTTTTATAAGCGTAATTTGAGTTTATTAGCTTATTATTAGCGCATTCATATAAAAAAAATTAGAGTTTGGTTGTTCTTGGCGCATTTATAAACATAGTTTGAATTATATCTTGGCATATTTATATAAGTAGGGGAGAGTTACGTAATAATTACTAAAAAAGATTTAATCATTCTATAATGTAAAAAAAAAAATCATCTGATGACTGACTAGACTAATATAGTAATTTAATGAACGATGGCGTTATTAATTATCATGAAATAAAAATATGTTCCTTTTTTAGTATACTATTTTATTAGGTGACACCATTTCAAATATGGCATAAACTGTCATTCATAAGACGTAAAAGTTCTGTCATAATTCCGTAGTGGCAGTTGTAACTTTCGCTATATAACAAATAACTTTTATATTAATGACGCCAAGTAATAATAATAATAAGATCTTTGATATACGCAGATGTTACACTAAAATTTATATACTTTATTGATACACATTATACTTTTAATAAGAATTTCAAGAATTAGAATGAAGATATCACGATAATTACCTATTAAAATTTAGAATAAAAAGATATCTTCGCTCAAAGTTAGTAACAATTCAAACCGCCTTTCAAATTATAAGCTGCGCAAAATTTTTTTAAAACTTTGAGCGAACATATCTTGACAACCACTCAATCAAATTTGATTAATTTTTTTTTTGTTTGAATTTTATGGATCTGTAGAATTCAAATAAAAAATTTTTTATCGAATTTGGTCAGGTGTTTGTTGTGATATCTTCGCTCAAAGTTTTAAAAAAAAAAATTTAATAGCTTGTATTTTAATAGACGTTTTGAATTGTTTACTTTTGTTTGAATTCTATGGATCAGTGGAATTCAAATGAAAAAAAAAAAATTTCATCGAATTTGGTCGGTGATATCTTCGCTCAAAGATTTAAAAAAAATTTAACGCAGCTTCTATTTTAATAGGCGTTTTGAATTGTTTACTAACTCTGAGCAAAGATATCTCGACAACCACCTGACCAAATTCGATGAAATTTTTTTTATTTGAATTCTATAGATCCATAGTAGAGGTTGGAACCGGTTTTAATAATTCGGGTTTATCACGTGAATTTTGTGATATTTTAGAAATTTATCCAATTAAATTCTAATAAATTCTAAAATATCACAAAATTCATGTGATAAACCCGAATTATTAAAACCGGTTCCAACCTCTAATCCATAGAATTCAAACAAAAAAAAAAATTTAATCAAATTTGATCGGGTGCTTGTCGAGATATATTCGCTCAAAATTTTAAAAAAATTTGGTGCAGCTTAATATTTTGATAAGTGATTTGAGAAGATATCATAACAACAACTTAATCAAAATAAGCAAAAATTTTTTTATTCTGATGCTAGGAATATTTTTAAAAAAAATTATTAAATTTTAATAAGGCCACTCCAATTTAATTTTCTGTTTAACATAATATTAAAGTAGCTTATGATAGTGGGGGGGAGGGTATTAAAAAAAACACAAATAATAAAAATACAGTAATTCTATTGGCTGTAAAAAATGTAAAAATGCAAAAAGTGAATACTGCAATTTGATTGGTTAATATTATGTGTCTTTGTCATGTAAAATTTTAAAAAATAGGGGGGAGGGGGTTATGTTAAACAGAGAATCAAATTGGTCTGGCCTAAGTAATTATCATCTGAGGTTATACAATGAATGTGTCAGAGATTCATAAACATTCATATATTACTGTAAACTCTGAACTACAAATTGTTAGTCATTTGAAATCGTAATAGCTACATGTTTGAGTTGTAGTTAGTGATGGGCCTGCGCGGGATTTTTAATATGATCCCCAATTCAGGCCAGCCGGCCCGCATTAGTAAAAATTTTTATCATTGGGATTTGGGCTCATGTTTTTGGAATTTGGAGTATGTTTGGGATTTGGAATTTGGGATTATATTTGGGATTTGGGATTATATTTGGGATTTGGGATTACATTTGGGATTTGGGATTACATTTGGGTTTCGGCAAAAGCCCAAATCCCGACCGAAAACTGCCGTAAGTCCCAATCAGTGCCGAAAGTATTTGGGTCCCATCACTAGTTACAGATCTATTAAAATTAGAAGATACATTTTGGAATTTAAAAGATAAAAATGGAGAAACCATAAGACAAGTATTTTATAATAAAGGTTTATAGAATTATCTTTTTTTTTTTTTTTTTTTTTGAAATCACATCATATCGATTTTAGAATAAATGTTTATAAACAACCAATTTTAGAACTTTCAATTACTTTAAATTGAATATAGAATTAAAGTGAATTTTTTTCGATTAGAATAATATTACAAATTTGATATCTACCTCAATTAACTGCTTCGTATATAAAAATTTTGCTAGGATTGAAGATTGAGGTTAAATGTCGTAAAGTATTTTTTTCTATACAATTACTTTTCTTTTGATCTATCGATATGGTTTGCACGTACATACGCAAATTTGATTGCGCAGATAAGATCACATCAACTGTAACTAGTTATTGGCAAATCGCGGTTTTCCCAAATATCCCGCGCGGGATAGAGATTACTTTGTGGGTTTCTTAAAATTTTGTTAATGCGGGCCAGCTGGCCTGAATTAGGGAATATATTAAAAATCACGCGTGGGATCCAAAAAATCACGCGCATGCCCATCACTATCAACAAGTATTACATAGAAAGAAAAGTGGACGTCCAAAAGCTGCGGTATGGAAGTATTTTACGAAGGGTTTAACTGCTGATAAATATGGACAGTATAGTGCAACTTGCGTATATTCTGAGCAGAGATGGTTAAGGCCATACCAATTTGATTCTCTGTTTAACATAACCCCCCCCTCCTATTTTCAAAATTTATATAAAACCAATACACATTAATAGTAATTAATAGTATTTGCCCCTTCAATTTTTTAAAATTTATATAACTAATACATGTTAAATCAACCAATAAAATTGCAGTTTTGGTATTTATGTGTTTTTT